CTTTGTCTTCAGCGATTGTGTCGGGAAGGTGAGCATCATGGAATGCCAGTTTAATAGAGCAAAGTGTTCTTGCATTGAGGGAGTAGTATCATTGGTTCTTGATCAGATGCTACCTATTGAAATGGTTGAATGTTAACTAGTTATTTTTGGTAGTGACTCTGCATTCCTCCCCTTGTTTTTTGGTGCTTCCTGCACCCTTCAATATTTTGCCCATAGAATCCTTCAGTACTAAAACTGGTGGCCTCAAACTGAGTATTGTCACTGCAATTTGCAGTCCCAAACCCTACTATCCCTTTGAAACCAACAAATAGTGTGCAGTTTTGGAAGATTCGATATGCAGCTTCTTTCTTTTCTCGGTTCAAGGATTTTCTATCTTACCCAAGTTATGTTCTCATGCTTCCATCAAGATGCAGTGGTCAAAAGGTGCTGGCCCTTTAACAGGAGAGCAGGGAGGGGCTAGGACTCTTAAAAGCCAGAGGTTGTAACCCAGCTGGTAACCCAGGCTGCCAAGGATAAACTAAGTAGGAAGAGCAGCATCAGTCAGGTGGTGGGTGTCAGCAACAAGGTCGTTTGTGAAATTCTCTCATCAGCACTGGTGGTGCCAGAGTGAGCTTCTCCAAATCCTTGTCTTGTCCGTTATTTCTTTGTACAACCTTGTCCTGGAGCTGGGCTGATGAGTTTGGAGGATACTGGTTTGCAGTAGGCTGCGGGCCTAGGGTCTCTATCCTTGAGATCCTTGGCTTACAATTTGCCGAGGAGGAGGGTGTCTCTGGTTGTCTTCCTGTCTTCCTTGTCCTAGGTTTACCTCCTCGAGGCTGGCGATGTGTTCTTGTTGAACAGCTATGGAGGATGTCTGCCCGTCTATCAAGATGAAATGCCTAGAAGGTATCACCAAGTTGTGGGGAGAGGGCTTGCTGGTCTGGTTCATGGAATGGAAATGGGCTTGGTTGTCCACATTCAGAGAACGGAGAGTGATTCCAACTCTCCCGCTTGCTAGAGATATCACTTTTCTGGAGTTTTTCTTCCTCATCTGCACCCCGGCACTTTCAAAGGGTTGTTTTGAGAGTTAAAGGAATGAAAACACGTAAAGTCTCTCACACGTGGCAGGGTCAGTTATAATGAATCAGAACAACCTGAACTTGGTCAATTAGGGAGACAAGGAGGACTGTTCAAGTTCTAGTCTCCTGTGCTTGTGAAAGAAGCCTTTGAATTATGTTGAAGAACATGAAATGTGCCATGGGCTTCCCAAAAGAATGAGCAAATTTGTCTGACGTGGAACAGTCAGAAGGCTCCCTAAAAGCAAGAATGCCAACGTTGTTTCCCATGTACTTGGACACGTTATCACCAGGAACTGGTGCCTGGAGAAGGGCATCATACTTGATAGAGAATCAGGGGGAGAGGAAGACTTTCTAAGATGGAATTATAGTGGGTACAAAAACTGTGCTCAAACATCGCAATGACTGTGAGGGAGGACGGAGCAGGACCCGCCAGTGTGCTGTGCAGTCGTACGAAGGATGACCACAGCACCTAACGATAGAAAGGACGAGGGGGTGAGGAGAAACCAGTAGGGTAACTGATGAGGTGGAGCGGAAAGTGAAGACGTTTGGTGCATGCCAATGTTTTGCTTACTCTGGTGGGAGATGGTTTGGGGCATCCTATGTCAGAGAAGCTGAGTCAAATCCAAACAGGAGGTATTGTTTGAAGGTGGTGCTAAGCTTATGAACCTAAGTGCTTGCTGAGAAGCATCAGCCTCTCTAGGTGTGACTCTTCACACCTGAGTGCCCACCTTGTTTCCTCCACAGGCCCACACTTAATAAACCTAGGACTGAGCAAGCCCTGTGGGCCACTGACTCCTCAGGAGGAGCTGGTGCCTACCTCTCAGACAGCAGAGGAGGAAGAGAATGAGGAGCAACCGGGGGAAGAGGCTCTGGATCCGGATTGGGCCCCAGACCTTGAGGAGGAAGAGAATGACCTCAGGGATCCAGCTGTACTCAGTGCTGTCTATAATACCCAGGTGTACCCTGGTTCTGGATTCACAACTTTTCTATTTCAAGTTTGAACTTTAGTTACTCTCTGCCTCCTTCCTTTTCTCATTCCCCCTGGCTCCCACTTTGTTTTGGATGCTGTCTTCGCCTTAGAACCAGGCCCTAGCAGGGCAGTGCCTGGCCCCCTGTGTGGTGGCTCTGCTACTTGGTGCTGAAAGTAAGGCATTTTTGTCTGACCCTGAGTCCCCTGTGTCTCTGACAGCCATTTGATCCCCCTGGATTCCCACAGCCAACGGAGTGTGGTAAGGACTCCCATGCTGTGATGGAGGTGCCACTCCATTACCTTTCAGTCTTCTCTGGAAATGCTCGCCTTCCCATCCTCGCCAGGGAAAGAAAGCAATCCTATTCCAGTTGATTCAGAATATGAGAGAAGGTTAAGTTGCTGGTGTCCTGGCTGTTGGGAATTACTGACTTTCCTTTCTCCTTCTTCATCCATGAGCCCAGGTGGCATGCAGAAGATACGATTGAGGCTCATTTTAGCCTGCATTTTCCTTCCTATTTCAGAGAGGCCTTCCTGGCTCCTCCAGAGTCAAGGCTCCTGGTGTGCTGGGGATGTCATCTGCCTCCTTGCAATTCCTGTGGCAGGTGAGTCTGCTCCATCACCACCCTCTGTTCTCCATCCTCGAAGATGGTGACTAGGTGGTCCAGGATTCCATCCTTGAGAGTGCAGAGCAGCCTTTATTTCTATCATGCTCAACCTGCTCCTAAGCTCGCTCTGCAATGAGGTACCTGCAGCGAGGGGTGGGGGTGGGCGGAGTACCATGATGCAGGGGAGCTTAGCCCCAGCCAGCGGTGCTGTGCTCTATCCGACATGACAGACTCTTCCGTGAATAGCTCTGTGGCCATTCAAATGAAAACAAACTCGGAACGAAATCTCCACTCCCACCTTATCAGAGAGTAGCACTGAGCTCAAGGTTGAGAAAGAGCACCTGCCCTTCAATTGACTACAGAATGAGACCATGGGCTGGGCTATCGGGGAATGTAGGGGCCAGGAACTCTTGCAGGGAAAACTAGATGGAAAGACACAGCTCCGAGGGAGGGCCTCAAAGGAGTCAGAAAAGTGAAAGGCAAGTGGCTAAACACGACAATCATGACAGTAGGTCACTACAGAGAGGAGACGGAGGGATGGGGAATCACCAAAGCCTTGAAAAAGCACATGCCCCATACACTTGTCACAGCTGATCCCTGAGAAGTCACCAACCCTATTAAAGACAAGTGGCAGGAACAACGGTCTGGTGCCATGAGGGACTCCAGGGAGAAGGCAAGATGCTGGGTGGGGTCCTTGAAGGACAAGGCAGGCGAGAATAGAGGCAGAAAGGAACCGAGGCCTGGCAGCAAGTACAGCGCTCTTGCTGGCGATGGCCCTCCGCAAACTTCTGAACTCCTCTCTCAGACCTTGGACTTCCCATCACCAATCCCTTTCCGGCCTACGGGGCCCAAGGCCAGCTCTCCAGCACAGCACTGCAGACCTCGACTGCCCTCGCCAGACCCGTCTCTCTACCACAGCCCACCAGCCTCATGGTCTCTTAGGTTCAGGTACGGGCTCAAGGTCCCAGGACACGCTGAGTTCTTCTCTGGAAGTCTCCTGAAGGAGTAGTTGAGGTGGGTGGGGCCACTCTACCGGTTTCCACAGGAAAATACTTCATAGTTAACAGGAGTCTCATCCTTTCTCCTCTCCTGGATGAGGAAATAGAGACGAAAGGAGATTTTTAAGAAAAGAATTCACCCATGGTCGGTAGAACAGAACTGCGACTACAACTCAGAATCCTGTCAACTAGGGCTGAAGGCTTCTCCTTCTGCCAGGGAGGTTTCTTGGAATGGGAGTGCCATTGAACTAGGGTTATGATTCATGGAGCTGGGTTTGAGGAAGCACCTAGAGACAGGACATTCCTTAGACGTCCTGCTGAGACAACCATAGGTCCAATGAATTCAGAGCAGCTGAAAGCTTCTGTTTTTGTTTTTTTCATTAGTCTTCCTAGTCATCTGACCCAGCTCCATCCGTGGCACCAACGGATCTTGCAGCAGCAGCAGCAGCAGCATGGCCAAATGCTGAGGTAAAGCCTAGACAAGGGGCAAGGTGGAGGGGTTCTGTCTGCATGCTGGGCACTCCCTTGTGGCCAGGTGTCTGCCCCTGCAGGAACTGCCAATTAAAGCCCATACTCTTGCCCACCAGTGTTCTGCCCCATCCTCCTGAGGACGCCACTCCCTGCTCACCACTCTAGGAAGGGAATCGTGACGGGGGTGGGTGGGTCTAAAGGGGATGCCCCTCTTGACTTGAAGTCCTCCAGCCAAGAAGCCTTGGTCTCAGCAGCCAGACCCCTATGCGAACCTCATGACTGGAAAAGAGAAGGAGTGGGTGATAAAAGTGCAAATGGCTCAGCTGCAGAGTGAGACCCCTCGCTTGGATGACTACTATTATCAGGTGAGCCCCAGGGTGCTCTGTCCAGCCTATGGGCTTGGCTTCAGGGTGGCCCTGAACTCTGCCCTCCTCTTCTGAAGGAGGCAAGTGTGCGGGACAGGACCCAGATTTCTAAAGCTGACATCCCAGGCTCTTCCCCCACTTTCTCCAAATTTCAGTCCGATAGGATTATTCTTCCCCAAACACACCTTGTGGTTTTGTCTCCCTCCTCTTGATAAGTTTTGCCCCTGTTCAGCCTGAAAATACAGCCTTTCCCTCTGCACACTTTGATGATATAGAAATGCCTTTTTCCATCTTAAATATAAGTAGTGGAGCTCAATGTGTTAAACTACACATTTTCCTTCCTTTCCCCCTTCTTTCTACTTCCCCTTTCTGTAGGGGCAGGAGTCACATGTCATTTTGGGGGGCTTGTCTAAGTGGCTTCACTTTTCAGTTTCCTTGACTCCCCTCTTGAGGTCCCCCATCTTGACCTTTATTTCTTTCTTTCCACTAAGCTTCAAATACTCTCTTCTCTACCTGCCAGGATCACTGTAAGTGAAATACAGGCTATTTCGTTCTCTTGCCTTGTCTGGCATTTTCCTTAAATGAAGGAGCATTACGCAAGTCTCTGTTTGACTCTTGGCAGCTTCATTTTAGTGTGGGAGGTTCAGCTTTTCTTAAGATGCAGAGCTGATGAACAGATCCACAGGGATATAAAACTGATCTAAAGGTTGGTTGACAAATACACGCTTAGGTGCTAGCTCTGTATCTCGAGCTGCTGGTAGGCTTCATACTGAAATTCTAATTTTTTTTTTAAAAGCACAGGTAGATCTCATCAAGAGACTGGGATCTGGGGAAGGATAGCAGGTGCGTAGTATATGTGTGGAGCTGGAAATGAGAACCACCAAGAAGGCTGTAAATTCTGGAGGTTTGCTTCCGTGGAGCTGGTCCTCCACTTCGCTCCTGTCAATAAGACCTGGTGGTCATGGCTCACTCCTTAAATATTTGGGTTAGGAACCTCAAGACAGGTGACCATGGTGCTTATAATACTTAATGACTGATGCAAGGGCCTAAGGCTCCAGGATTGTTTCTGAAATGAATGCCGTAGGAGAGCATGTTAAGAGGTTGCATTTGAGAACCCTAATTCGAAGAGCAGAAGGCGAGCATTTGTGTTCCTTTCCCATGGATTCCCAGGAATATTATCAGAAAGTAGAGGAGCAGCAGGCAAATGAAGAGCTACTTGGGCAAAGGAGCAGAGTTGAATCTCTCAAACTGGTAACTCCTTACGTCCAGAAGGCAGAGGCTTATGAGTCAGGTAGGACCCAGGGTTGATCTGCCAGGCTGGAACGGCTGGGTTGGGATGGGGGCTCAGGGTGAAAGGGGAGGGGGTATATACCTGACTTCTTTCTTGTAGTGGTTCGAATTGAGGGTTCCCTGGGCCAGGTAGCCATATCCACTTGTTTTAGCCCTCGCCGAGCTATAGACGCCGTACCCCATGGAACACAAGAGCAGGTAGGTGCATCCTATTCTCCAACCCACTTTGCTCCTGTTTGGGGAAAGGTCTCCTGCTTTGAGCTCAGATCATGACCTAAGAACAAAGACACAGGAATCACGTTGTGTATTTAGCTCTTCCAGCTCAGTTGGCCCTTGCATGGGGCCTTGGGCTGCAGCTCTGGAAGTGTGGCTGATAGCTGGGGTCTCTTTCCTCCTAGGACACGGGGGCTGCAAATGGTCAGAGACTCCGGGTATTACATCGGATTGAGAAGGTGAGATTAGCAGATCCTTGAGGGTAAATGCCCAGCTTCCCTTTGAGAATGGGATATTGCTCAAATCTACCTCTCCTCCTCTCTATTCACCGTCAAACTTCTAGATGTTCCTTCAATTACTAGAGATAGAGAAGGGCCAGAAAGATGGGGCTCCACAGCCCTGGTCCTCTGAGCAGAAGGGTCTTGAAGCTGAGAAGCTCTTCCAGACCCTGATGGCCCAGGAGCAGAATAACCTGGAGTGAGTATGGCAGCACCACCCCTCAGGCGCAGGAAGGGAAGGGGGTGATGAGCCAAGCGGCTATGCCTCTGCCCCTCTCCCCTCTATTTAGACCTCTGAAAATGCCATGCTGCCTTGCTTTTAGGGAGGTGGCAGATGGCTTTCTGCAGGTGCTCTCTGTGAGGAAGGGGAAAGCCCTGGTGGCCCGGCTGCTCCCCTTCCTGCCCCATCATCGAGCTGTTAGCCTTCTTCTGGCTATCACCCACAATCTGCCCTTCCTGGTCCGGAGGGACGTGGCTGATCAGGTACTACGGAGTGGAGTAGAAAGGGGAGGGTGTTTTGAGGGTTAGGAATCTTACCACCTCTCTAATCCCTACCGGTGAGATGCCAGAGAAAGGTACGGGTCATTGAGAAGGGAAGGGGTGGGGGGTGTCTTCCTAACCCTGCTACCATCAGGGAGTTGCAGAACCTATCACTATGGGGATAACACACACACACACACACACACACCTGTTGAGAAAGGGTATGTATGTGAGTGCTCAGGAGAGCTAGTGGGCTGTGGAGGTTTGAGAAGATAAGGGCTCCCTGGTAAGTGTTGAGCCCCGTATCTCTCCACAGGGAAGGCTTTCTGAACAAGTGGGTGTTGAAGGCACCTGATGTTAGACCCGAGTGGTGATGGGTCTGGTGAGTGACCTGTGCAGGAAGACACCAAAGGCAGATCAGGAAGGGGGAAGTTGGTTGGAGGCAAGCGAGGAGGAGGTGAAGTGGACTTTTACATCCCGGGTCTTCCTGCAGGCCCTGCAAATGTTGTTCAGACCTCTGTGGAAATGCATACGTCATTTGACCTTCCAAGAACTCCTGCAAGGACTTCAGGGACTGATGCTGCTACCAACTCCCTCAGAAAGGCCCATCACTGTGGTGCTTCAGAATCAGGTAACCCACCTGAGAGGCTATTCTTTCCCTAGATGGCTTCCAGGTGGTATCACTGGTAAGTCATAATGGAGGGAAGGTTCTCTTGGCGTGCCACAAATCTTACCATATTCTGCAGTCAACTTCTAGTGCACATCAGGCTCACCTGGAGAGTGCGTCCCATGTGGCTTCCCCAGTCCCTTCCCCAGAGATTGCCATTGAGCAGGTCTGAGGTGGGGATTGTACATTTGCTTCTCCAGCAAGCTCCCTGGGGATACTGGTGTGTGGACCACACCACTCTAGGCAGAGGTCTCCAGACATCTGTGATTGTGTACGCCTTTGAAGACAGCAGAGCTGGGGAAGCGCTGCATGCCTCGGGTGATCTTATTTTTTTACCCTGGACTATGTACATATCATTTGCAGTTTGGAATATCTCTGCTCTATGCCCTGCTGAGTCACGGGGAACAGCTGGCGTCTCTGGACTCTTCCGTAGAGGGATCCAACAGGGACCATACAGCTTGGTAAGGTCACAAAGAGCCCTTGAAGGGAGAAATGGCACACCCCCTAGAGTGGTGGTTTCTATATGGCATAACTTTGTAATTAAGAGGACAATCTGTAAAGTCAAACAGACTTAAGTTTAAATTCTGGTCTGTCCCTAGCAGTATAACTTTTTTGAGCAAGTTTGGCTTAGCCTGTTTCCTCCTCTCTCCACTAAGGACGACTGGACTGAACTAACCCTTCACAGTTGTGAATACAGATGGCATTTAAGCTTAAACAAGGAAAACAAGGAAAGCACTAAGCTTTGGTGTTGCCTGGCCCACACCAAACATGCAACTAAATGTTCTCTTAATTGCTACAGGGGTGGGGGAGTAGTGCTTTGTTTTTTAAGTTTAGATTGTGACCTGATACCAAGGATAATAAAGAACCTTTGCCTTGTGTCTTGGGTTCTTGCTTCATTATATCAAGGCTGAATAAGGAAAGACAGTCTATGTTACTCACTTCTAACACATTTCTTCTCTGCTGTCCAGGACAAACATGGTGGTTTTGATTGCCTGGGAAATAGCTCAAATGCCAACTGCCTCTCTGGCTGAACCCCTAGCCTTCCCCAGCAACCTTCTCCCCCTGTTCTGTCACCACGTGGACAAACAATTGGTAGAACAGCTGGAAGCCAGGATGGAGTAAGTCATGGGAGAAACGGGATCACGGTCCCTTGTTCAAGTCTAAGCTTAGGCCTGTCCCTCTCCTCCCTACTACTACTGCCTCATGAACTTGCTTGTAGAGAGTCGCCCCAGGAGCTATAGCATTTACCCTGAATAACCAATCGGACCCATGCTAGGGTCCTAAGGCAAGGCTGTTCATGTATTCCCAGGCACTTTGGCTGTTTTTCATGCTAAGCTATCGGAAGGTAAGAACTGATTCAAGAAACTAAACAACATGCTGGTTGTTTTTTAAAAAATGGAATTGTCTTTGCAATGAACACCTATTCTCTTTATAGATTGTCTGGACCTACGGAACTGGTTGCTCTGGAATACACATTTGGGGGGGAAACTTAACTATCAAACCCTAGCTGTGTGAGCTATATCTACAGAGTTCCCGAAGAAGAATCTCAGACATTTCTAAATGCCTTGACCCACTGGAGGACCTGCCCCAAACACCTATGTTCTTCAAAACCCTGAACGATGTGCCTAAAAAGCAGGCATGGCAAAGAAGGTATCACTAAAGAGAACAGAATGATGTGTTGACACCTGCTTGTAAGAAGCTATTAATAAAGGCCATCTGCTTTCTTATGTGTGCATGCTCCAAGTGTTTCGACTAAGGGGACATGAGGTCTTGTGACTGTAGGGACTGTGAGCGATTACCCCAACGGTGGAAGGAGATCAGACACAAGGTTGCAATAACAAAAGAGGTTTTATTTGTACTAGCTTAAGCCAGGGCTCAAGTCCTCAGGTACTCAACCATGCACACCGTCTTGGACAAGAGCACCGAACAAAGAGAATGCTGCCATTTACATACACAGGGTTTACGTAGCCAGGGCGTCCCCAGCCTGCCCCTCCCGCTTTCCGCTGATGGGCTTGTTTGTGGTGGGTTGGCAGTTTGGTCCTTTGTGTTGTTCCTGTGCTGGCTGTCGTCTTCTCATTGGCAGTTTGGCCGCCGTGTCGTTCCCAGGTTGGCTAGCCTCCGTCCCCGGGATTTTCCATCTCTGTACTGTACACAGAGCAAGATGAAACCAAGGCCTACCCGAGGTGGCGGAGCCTGCCATGGAGGCAAGTTGGCTTTACAGTGACAGCCATCAAAACCATGCCCTTGAGAACCGTTTCAGTGTTGCCATTCTTTACATAGAGAGGAGGTGGCTGAGCCAAGAGGGCTGGATGTAAATGTTTTCCTGGGGATAGAAAATACTCCGTTTCATCTTAGACGAGGGTGGTTGTGCATTTATCAGCAAGCACTGTTTAGGTCTGAGAGTAAGGGTGGTGAGCACTACCAAGTCTTTGCTCTTTTGAAGGGTGTATTCTGAATGGCTATGGACTGACACAAAGGACCAGTGATACACACCGTGGGAAGGACCAAGGAATCAAACGCTGGATGATGAGCATGAGAGAAGACCATGTTGAGTGGTAGAGGAAGGCCTCTTCAGGGAGGTTATGTTTAAGCTGAGCTGAACACGAACCAACAGGCAAGAAGTGGGGGCAAGTGTTTCACACAGACCCTGACAAATGAAAGGTTTCCAAAGTGAGAATGGAACAGAAGGACAGTGCTGCTGATCTTACACAAATAAGGGAGAA